CGAGGAAATACGTGTGTTTATAACTGATTTAGGATTATTCAAGGCTCTATCTCCCTAGCAGTAATCGATGTTTCAATAAAAAATCCTAATAAGAGCCCGAGCATCGATAGTTTCGGGGTAAGTCCATAGTTTCGGGGTAGTAATGCGATAAGTCAATAGTTTCGGGTAGTAATGTGGTAAGTTTCAGATCAATTGTATATTCAAAAAAAAAAAATTTTTTTTTCACCAATTTTTGTGAAGACGTTTTCATTTAATGATCAAGTAGTCTTGGATGGATCGAAATTTTAATTTAATTTAATTTAATTTTCATGTTTTTGCAAAAACTCAATTATTTTTCTGACAAATTCTCAGCCGTTAAGAGTGGAAATAAGATAACCTTTCAAAAGGGAAACGGAACTTACAGAGTGAATTATATTAAATTTATTATATTTGGGGGTAAAGAAATTAATAGGCAATAAAACGATGATATATTTTCTCATTTGTTTTATTCTATTTTAAAAATTCTGGAAAATGCAATTAAAGGTTTTTGGGTCAAGAGGTGCGCTCCGATATTGTGAGTGAAAAATAAATCGTAAATCACAAGACAAACAAGTAGGTCTACAGGAAATAGAATTTGTCATTATCATAATAACGTATTTCATCTAATCTTTTTGCGAAATCTTCTGAAAATGTTTATTTGGATTATGTTCAAAAAAAAAACTGATACGGTATCGACCAGCTAATTTATTCTTATTTGTATTATATAACTCTGACCTTTTTTAGCAATAGAAAGAAAGAGTGGGAATAGCACTGGCAATCATATTCCCGAGTGATAAATCGTTTATTTATTTGTTTATTTTTACGAATGCTAATACTGTAGTAAAATGGAAACCAGGATCACGTGTGATGCTGTATTCAATATTTTTATTTTTCCTATGCTATTGCTTCCCATTCTTTGGTAATGTGATCGCAATGATAATAACTTACATCGAATAATTTTAACTCGAATTTTTTTAGACAGACATGACAACCAAATATTCTTATTCTGGAATCCCATTCTACACATAAAATAAACCAAATGTTTTATTTTTGTTGACAACAATATATTAACAATATTAACTACAGTATTGTTATTATATTTTATTAAAGGCTTACGATATCTAAACATTGTGACGAGAATATTCTGAATAATCTTCTCGTATTACAAATTTTTTAAAATATTGAAAAGAGAAAGAAGAATGAGAATATCAACACAATAATTCATGTTATGCTCTTGTCGGCCTTTCTATATTATTTATATGTCGGATTATAGACAAGATCACATGACGTGGTTTTAATGTTCAAACGTAACTTTAGCTAATTTATTTGTTTTTTCTTTTTGACTATTAATATATTAGACAATTACAAACTAATCACGTGACTTCTGGTGACATTATCGGCACATATACACGTACAGTCTACAGCATATCATATTTCAAATAAAAATTTCACCAGTTATCCCAGATGTGTTTGATCAAAATGAGACATTTATTTATAGGCTTTAAATTTATCGTTCGTTCCAATAAATATACAGCTTAAGTATTTGAAAATAAAAAATTCCACGTATTTATATACGAGGATCGACGCATTGAGATTCTCGACAGACAAAACCATCCTGACACTGCAAATAATTAGAAAAGTTAAAAAAGAAAAACGAGGAACTTTTTATCAAAAAGATTTTAAAAAAATAAATCGTATACTTTTTTAAAGCATATTCCGCAATGACCTGCGGAGTTACGAGTGTTTTGGCATACGCCACCACAACAGCTCTGGTTACTACCACACTGCAAATAACAAAGAAAGTTAAAAAGATAGTTTTGCCAAAAATATTTAAAAACAATACATACTTTGTTTCCACAAGCCTTGCAGTTGTTATTGTTAGATGTGAGGTCAACACAGGTACCGCTACAATCTGTCAGCTGAGGGAGGCAAACGCACTTTCCACCTGAACAGTATTTACCACCAGGACACTACAAATAATTAAGAAAATTAAAAAGGAATATCTTGCCAAAAATATTTTAAAAAAAGTAATACATACAGCATTATCACAGTCGCCGCAATTTCCTGAGTCGGTATTGGGGTCAGTACAGTTACCGCCGCAACCTATTTGACCACTAATGGGGCAATTAGCACAGGCACCAAAACCTAGACAGTAACTATTACGATCACACTGAAAATGATAGGAAAGTGAAAAAAGATGATTTTGTCAAAAATTTCGAAAAAGACAAATACTCGGATTTAATGAGCAAATACACACGCAAGTGGATTGACACACACGGGGTCTTGGGCAGCATTGCGAATTATAAAGGTTCAGGCATATATAATCGGTAGAACACTGTGAATATTTTTATTGGATTTAGAAATGAATGCTAATAAAACCAAAAGAATATGAATACGTACGCATGTAGAATTACATGGTTGATGACCTTCGTCGCAAGTGATAGCAATTACTCCATGCGATAGTACTAAATTAATAAGAATGAGAGTGATGAAGCTGCAAATACGAAAGGGCATTGTATAATGAATTCGAAAGAATTTTACCGCAAAGAACGCTTATAAGAATGACGAGAAGGCTAAATAATTTAGATTGCATTTGAAATTTATGATAATTAAGCGAGATAAATATGAAAAAGAATGAATACGAGAAAATTCATTGAAAAAGATGTAACAACATTTACGCTCCTTATATAACTCATCCCGTACACGCAACATAATTTTTTATCCGAGTAGAATCCAAAGCATTGTGTAAATAAGGAAACAAAAATACTGTACGTGCAGCATTGTTATACCCATATACCGTGCAGATCGCACAAACAAATAAGATAGATTTATTACTATTTTAAAACGGCATGGGGTGCTGCCCGGAAAACAATTGCACAGCATTGTGCAGCAACTGTACAGTATACAGTACATACGGTTGCATTTACATTGTCTTCGAGGGAAATAATAAAATGTGGTTTTCGGATTATGTCACCCGGCACATAGGATGGCGATTATGTCAAGGTTAATAATACTGTAGTGATAATGATAATTTACGTTGAATAAATGTTCTAGAATTATATATACCACACTTTTTTTATTATCTACAAGAAAGAATTAATCATAATTTCGTGTTCTAAAGATTACGTAATTTCCGAATCTTTAATCCTGGTGATATTTCAATAAGATAAGTATTTTTTGAAAGTTTCCTTTTTGCAACAGATTTTTTAATTTTGAAAATTTTAATTTAATGTGCCGCAATTTCTATCAAATTACAGTATATGAATTGCGCTAACGTACTATATTTGCTTAAAAAGTATTAATGATGAAATATGTTTACCAGCCATAATCTTTATTAAAATCCAATGGTGGTTTTTTTAAAGATCTTATTTTATTTTATTTTTTGAGACTACAAATTTCACTAATACAATATTAATATACTAGAGACATATTTACGTGAAATATACAAGATAATTTCTGTAAATTAAAATGATATTTAAATTGGTTAAGTACAGTAAATAAATTAAAATGATATTTAAATTGGTTAAGTACAGCAAATAAATTAAAGATTTTTTTTTATTATTTGACCAAAATCTTCAAATCTGTTTCTGTCATAAATCTTTAATACCTCGTCTTTATCTTAAGGAAACTTGTTACATTAACGTTTACTAAGGTGTGCTATTAAAATAATTTGACTAATTCAGACTGCGTTTTATCTACTGTTATGGGTAAAATCGACACAGGCATGCAACGCGATATCACGTTAAGTCACCCTGTTGTCGTGATATGTGGGAAAGTTTAGTGGCGGAAATTTCTAGAGTAGTGTAGAATAGCGATCAGATGTAAACATGTAAATAACAGGCGCATGTATAAATACATGCG